GGTGGTCGCCGTGCCGTCCCTGAACCAGGTCGCTGCAGCCATTTGAACTGCAACAAAGCCATTCAGCTCTTTTTACTGATGTATTCTTAAAATATATAAATATATCTCAGACCAAATAAACTGACTGGAAACAAATAAAAGGTTTTTATGATTCCATGATTCAGCTTTCAATTGTTATTTATTATGAACTACAAGCTTCAGCACTACTGTATACATTGTCATAAAAACAGACCTGGCTTTGAACACATTACATGATATGAAGATGCAGGAAGTTTGGGAATGGTTCTGCCTTATTTTCTTCAGTAAAATTCAAAATTCTATGAAAATTCTTTCTACAAAAGGCTTTTTAAAAATACTACCAAATCTGAAGTCTACACCATCCTCTCAGTCTTGGCTACCTAACTGGTAGGATTAATAGACTGAGAATAAATTAAGATCAAGCTATAAATCTCTAAAACCACAGTTATATGCCAGAAAAAGGGTGTTGTGTTTTCAAGCATAGCATACGGACCTGTACCACTATCACCAAACAGAAAGATTTATTAGCTTTATCTTTTTTCTTTTTTAATACTGAATATCTATCCATTTCTCACTCAAAGAAGCTGTCATATCCTAATCAACATCTATCCTTTTTCACATTTTGAGTATGCATCAGAACATAGCTGATGTCTCTTCTGATCTCTTAAAAAATAGTTTTCTCATAAATTATCCCTTTCACTGTAGCAATTAAATCTAGAGAAGCATCAAATTTAGCTTTTGATCAAAGCAAGCCATTTGTTCAAATCTTAAGACTAGTGACTGCATCTACTTATTTCCCATTTTTTGTTCCTTCTTTGTTTGATATGCTTATTATTTTTTTCTACACAGCTATCTCCCCTTCCTTTAGTGCTTTCTCTCTTCTATTACTGCTTTTACCAGGAAATGTTGAAAACAAAATTTAATTGAGCAACAATATTTCATAATTTTGACCAAACAATGGATATGTTTAAGCATGAAACAGTGTTTATAGATGAAGAAAGTTTTCTTGCCAGTGTCTTGCACAATAACAATTAAAGTGCAAAAAAGCAAACTATAGTCTATGTTGTTTGGCTGCCTCCCACACTGCAAAGCCATTAAGCAGAGGAGCATGTTCTTTGATTAATATTCACAGAATAGAAGCCAACAGTTCACAGCATCAATCACATATTCAGCAGTTGGAATAAGCCATATATGCATGCAAAAGCGGCAAGACCAGAATAATCAAGTGCAAACAACACACCAAAATATACGAAGCTTCGTACACTTATGAGGAAAACAGAGTGTGTTGCAGATAGATGTTCTGTTTTGGTAATGTACAAAGAACATACAGTTCTTGACAGCTACAATAAGAGCTAAAGGAAGTAACACCTAATCTTCAAAGGCATTACTTAAGCAGAGCATTTCATTTAAATGTAGAGCAGAATTTGACAGAAGAAAGGTTGTTTCATCTTTATAAATTCAATGACATGTTATTTCAAGG